CCCGCGCTGCTAGCAAGCGCGCCCCATCTCCACTAGGAGATGAGAGCAGTGAATCTTCTTATTCAGACTCTGAGTATGAAGACCCCTGGGCTGAAATGCAGAGGGAAGCCACATGGGCAGGGAACTCAGCTCTGTCCCAAAAAATACTTACCTTTCCTGTAATAATGAGGAGAGACAGGACAGGGGCACAGGTTGCTGCATGGGAGTCCCTTCATTATAGGGAACTGCAGGAACTTTGCAAAGCTGCTGAGGAACATGGCAGGGGTTCACATTTTTTTAAACACATACTGGAAGCCTCCTTCTCTGCCCACGTCATGGTCCCGCATGACATCAAGAATATTATGAACTGCCTTCTCTCTCCAGCAGAATACATGTTGTGGGAGAGGCAGTGGAAGAAACATTTAAAGCAGTTATCAGATGTTTATGCAAGAGATGCTAACAGACCTAATTTTACTTTAGAGCAATTAGCAGGAGAAGGAGATTTCCAAAAGCCCCGAGATCAGGCCCGAGACCTGCCTGAAGCAGCTTTACAGGATATAGCTAATGCAGGTAAGATATCTCTTTTTACCACCCCTGATGATAAAGTGCCAACACAGTGCTTCACCAATATTAAGCAAGGGGCAACTGAGTCTTTTATTAAATATATTGATAAGTTAAAAGTGGCCGTTGAAAAGCAGATAGAGAGCCCTCAGGCGCAAAAGGAATTATTAGTAAAAATAGCAATGGCCAATGCTAATCCGGAGTGCAAAGCAGTTTTGTGAGCCCTCCCTCTGGACCCAGAACCAACCATAGATCAGATGGTTGAAGCTTGCACCAAACACTCCTCTGCCTCAAGTGAGAATACTGTGGCACTTGCAGTGGCTAAAGGAGTGGCAGAGGCGATATCTGGAGCTTATGCTGCAGACTCCAATAGAAATTGTTGTTTTAATTGTGGTGAGCCTGGGCATTTTTTCAAAGACTGTCCAGAGAGACATTCTATACAACCTCCAGCCCCCCAACGGTTCCCCAGACAGAACTGGCATTCGGGAAACTTCAAGCAGAGCGCGGAACGGCCCTGCGCTTCAACATCAAATCAAATGCTGCACCGCTCCACCCCTCCTGCCAAACCCACCATCCTGCCTCCACAGGGACCCCGATATTAAGCCCAGAAGGTGGAGTGCTTCAGATGGGAACCCGGTGTCAACTGGTAACTAGACTCTCTTTACATATGAAGGGTGACTGTATTTACAAAGTCCCCACAGGGAAACGTGGACCACCAGGCGGTCCCTCTAACACCTTAATACTTGGGGATCCTACCAACTGTCCAGAACAAATTCATACTGTTCCTGAGGTCCAGACTATATACCCTGGAGATGAAATTTCCAATCTCTCTGACCTGCATAGACCCTCCTTATTATTTAAAGGAACAGACTCCTGTGGCACAGGCCTTTTTACTTCCTAGTGACTGCCCAGATCATGTTCCCCTCAACCCCAGTGCTATGTGGACACAGGTTGTGGGCTCCTGCAAACTTATCGTGGACTGTAGCCTGTTTTGTTATGGGGAAAGGATTCAGTGCCCAGGAATGATAGACACTGGAGCAGATGTTACCATCATCGCCCGCTCAGAGTGGCCAGACAATTGGGAATTACAACCTGTAGCAGGCATGATTTCAGGAATTGGAGGAATGACAGCTTCCATGAGGAGCAAACGGAATATTGTTATTGAAGGACCTGAGGGACAAATGGCAACCATCAGGCCATTTGTGGTGAGAGCACCAATCACCCTCTGGGGACGGGATCTCCTGTCCCAATGGGGGGCTTCTCTGTGGATTCCCAGCAGGGATTTTTAGTCGGGGTCACTGAGAAGTGCGCGATGCCTACCATCCCCCAACTCACCTGGAAACAGCACCATCCAGTGTGGGTTGATCAGTGGCCCCTATCTGAGACCAAACTGTGTGCACTGGAAGCCCTTGTGGAAGAGCAGCTTGCCAAGGGCCACATCACTGAGTCCAACAGCCCTTGGAACTCCCCTGTCTTTGTCCTATGCAAACCAGGCAAGGACAGGTGGAGACTCCTTCAGGACCTCCGGAAGATCAACGAAGCCATTGAGGATATGGGACCCCTCCAGCCTGGCATGCCCTCCCCTTCAATGCTCCCCCGGGATTAGAAGCTGGCTGTCATTGACATCAAGGACTGTTTTTTCAACATACCACTCCATCCTCGGGACGCTCCCAGATTTGCATTCTCGGTTCCCTCTCCAAACAGACAAGCACCTTTAAAAAGATACCATTGGCTAGTCCTTCCTCAGGGGATGAAAAATTCTCCTACCATCTGCCAATGGTACGTGGCCCACATTCTGTCACCTGTGAGGACCCTGTTCCCAGATGCCGTCATCCTCCACTACATGGATGACATCCTGGTTTGTGCTGCTGACGATGACTATCTGCACCGGACTTTACAAAAAACTATCCAGACAATTGAGGACGCTGGATTTGAGATCTGTGAGGACAAGATCCAGCACACCTGCCCTTGGACCTACCTGGGACTCCAGATCCGTGAGCAGACCATCGTGCCCCAGCAGCTGACCATCAAAGACGACCCCAAGACCCTGTGGGACCTACATCAGCTCTGCGGGTCCATCAACTGGATACGCCCTCTGCTTGGGGTAACAACAGAAGTCCTTGTGCCCCTCTTCAACCTGCCCTGTGGCAGTGAGGCCCTCGACTTACCACATTCCCTCACACCGGAGGCCCGGGAATCCATCACCAAGGTCCAGGAGGCCCTGTCTTCACGACAAGCCCACCGGTATGAGCCCAGCCTGCCCTTCCAACTGGTTATCCTGGGTAAGGCCCCGTGCTTGCATGCGCTCATTTTTCAATGGGACACTGCATTGAAGGATCCTCTCCTTATCATCGAGTGGATCTTTACACATAACCAGCCCACTAAGACCATTACCACCCCGCAGGAAATCATGGCTGAACTCATTAAGAGAGTTAGAGTCGCACTCTTGCAGCCTGTGAGTTCACCTGCATCTTCCTCCCATTGGCAACTGGAAGTTTGGATCCTTTGCTCCAAACCAATGAGAGCCTTCAGTTTGCTCTCAATAGCTATTCAGGCCAAATTTCTATACACCCACCTGGCCACAGACTTTTCAAAACCACATTTAATTTGGTCCCCAAATCATTACAGAGCAAAACACCGCTCCAGGCCCTGACAGTTTTCACAGATGGCTCAGGGAAATCCCACAAGTCAGTCATGACTTGGAAGGACCCCAGGACACAGAAATGGGAGTCCAATGTCCAAGCGGTCGAGGAATCACCACAGATTGCTGAGTTAGCAGCCGTTGTCAGAGCTTTTGAGAAATTCCAAGAACCTTTCAATCTGTTGACTGATTCGGCTTATGTGGCTGGAATAGCTATGAGAGCAGAACATGCATTTCTAAAAGAGGTCTCTAACCCAAATTTATACCAATTGCTTTCTGAATTAGTATATCTTATCTCTCACAGAAAGCAACCTTACTATGTCATGGATGTGAGGGCGCACACAGACCTCCCAGGTGCCATTGCTGAAGGAAACAGGAGGGCAGACGCCTTAGCCATGCCTGCTGGGGCAGCCGATGTCCCTGACATTTTCGCACAAGTGAAATTGTCCCACCAGTTCTTCCACCAGAACATGCCCGCACTGATGAGAATGTTCAGACCACCCAGAGACCAGGCTAGAGCAATAGTTGCCACCTGTCCCAATTGCCAGTCGTTCCAAATACCGGTCGTTAACTCTGGGGTTAACCCCCGAGGACTGAACAGCTGCCAGATATGGCAAACTGATGTCACTCATGCCCTGTCCTTCGGGAGAGTCAAATATGTACATGTCTCCGTAGACACCTTCTCTGGTGCAGTGTTTGCCTCAGCCCATGCAGGAGAAAATGCCAAGCACACCATCCGACATTTTCTCCTTGCTTTTGCTACCCTGGGAGTCCCAGAACAAATTAAAACAGACAATGGACCTGCTTACACCTCTCACAAATTAAGAGACTTTTTCAATCAGTGGGGGGTGAAACACACCACGGGCATTCCTCATTCCCCCACAGGGCAATCAATAGTAGAGAGAACCCACCAAAACCTGAAAAGAGTCCTTGATCAGCAGCGGGGAGGAACAGAAATCATTCCCCCCATTGAGAGGCTCTGTAAGGCTCTATATGTCATGAACTTTCTAAATTGCTCGCCTACAGAGCCTGACCCCCCTGTAATATGGCACTTCTCTAATTCAACTCATGCCAAACTCACAGAGAAGCTGCCAGTGCTGATCAAGGATCCTGAATCACAACTGACATCGGGACCTTTCCCACTGATTACCTGGGGGAGAGGGTACGTGTGTGTATCCACACCATCAGGACCTAAGTGGCTCCCAGGGAAAAATGTGAAACCTTATTTAGGCCCTACAAACCCTGCACCAGCTTCAGAACTTTCAAAGTCTCCTGAAACCCACACAGGTCCAGAAAAACAGCGGCCCACTGCAGCCTGGAAACGGAGACGTCGTTGGAGTCCACCAAACCGACCTGCCACCAGACCAACAACCAGACAGAGTTTGGCAACCGTCCTGCTACCAGGGCCACAACGAGACGGCTGCCAACATCATGCCTGACACCGTGACAGTACACAAGTCTTCTTAACTCACTCCCCCTTCCCCTTCTTGCCCTTGTTGCCTAGCCCAAATTGCCAGCTTACACCAAAGTGCACCTCTGTGCTGCTGCTGGTGTTGGGTCATGTGTCCCCAACACACAGAATAACCTCGCTTATAATTTTTGGGGTTTTTTTTGTTGTTTTCTTGTTTTTTTTTAAAGAGGGGAGAGACAGGAGAGGAAAGGGAGAAAGAAAATAGCTCCCCCCCCCCTCCAAAAATCAGAGCTAATCTTTTATGTTCTGTTGTAGAAAATGGAGAGCAAAACCATCCTTGAGTTCCTGATGTTCCTGATTATCTGGATGCTCCTGAAAACATCAGCTGTGGATGCCTGGCTAGTAGCACAGCCCCAGGAGAACGTGTGGATCACCCTCGCAAAGACACTCCAACAAGACCACATGTGCTTGTCCATGGGCAGCGCCACCAACCCTCTGTCATCCTGCCTGGTAGGGATTCCTTTAAAGCCCCATGAATATCCTTTCACAGGGAAAGAACCCAACCCAGGAGACACTTGGGATGAGTGGACAAAGATCTTGCCCCATGCACCAGAGGAACCCCAGGAATTAGAGTTTTTGGGATCCTCCAAAGCTACCTATTGCATAAATTTTAATTATCACCCAGTAGCCAATGCATGGCCTGCCTTGAAATACCAAAAGGCAATTAAATCAAGGAAAAATGTGACTCCCAACAGTAAAATTTACAGTCAGTCCAAATGGTGCAATTACACCAGCAGCACACAATCCACCTCCTCAACTATCCCAGAGTGCTGCTCCGGGGAGTGTTCTTGATCTGTGGGGATAGAGTGTGGGCAGGAATCCCTTCCCGACTCCGGGGAGGTCCTTGCACGCTTGGACAGCTTACCATCCTCACTCCAAATTCAACTCTAATACATGATTGGCTGAAAAAGAATGACTTGGCCTGCCAAAAGAAAGATCTCGCCCAATTAGATGAAAATTGCAATAGCCAAATTAAAGATCTGTCCTACACAAAGAAGGTGGTGATGTCAGCATTTTTGCCGTGGGCAGCTGCTGCTAAAGCCCTTGGTGAGCCTTCTCACCTGGAGTGTTGGCTTGGTAAGCAGGCCAACCGGACCTCCTCTGTCCTGAGTGACCTCCTGACAGATGAAGAGACTGTTAGGCATGCCACGCTACAAAACCGAGCTGCCATAGACTTTCTACTCATGGCCCATGGACACGGCTGTGAGGAATCAGATGGTCTGTGCTGCTTTAACCTCTCCAGCCCCAGTGAAGGCATCCACACCCGCATCCAGAGACTCCAACATGCATTCCAAAAACTCCAGGCTGAAAAAGGAGCCCCAGTGGCTTGAAGACCTTTTTGTGAGCTGGGGACTCGAGAGATGGGTTGCCTCCGTCCTCATGAACATTTTTTGGGTTTTCTTGATTGTTACTATCTTCCTAAGTATGTTTTCATGTTTTAAGAAGCTATCAGCTAACTCTCTAGGGGATGCCTTTTTAATAAGTAAAGAAGGGGGAGTTGTGGGTACGGAGGAGCCCACTGGGCCCGAGATCCTGGCTCTCCCCTGGAGAGGAGACACTTCTCTGTGAGAGAGACACAATGTGTCGCTCCCAGGGGTCTTTGAGTTAGATATGTTAAACTGTTGTGTTTCATTGGTGTTCTCCCCTGCTGTCCCACCCCAATACAGGTATCTCAGGCTTCCCCCCGCCCCTCTCCTTCCCCATAAATATCCTGGGTTTTCCCCTGTTTGGCGGATTCGCTGTTACCTGCACCCTTCACTGAAGCTCTGCCTAAATAAAGGCTAGTGGAACGCTGGACCAGCTATCTCGTCCCTGCTTCTTGTGTTGTCTGCCCGCCGCCGCCGCTGAGCCGAGCCGAGCTGAGCTGAAATCACTCTACTATTACTGAGCTGAGCTGGAATCACTCGACTGCTCAAAGCTGCTCATACGCGCTTCGGGCCAGCCTTTCTCAAGGCTGTCTCTGGAGAAGTCGCGGTGCTCCGGGCTTTCCACTGCTGCGGGAAAAACTCACTGTGTCTTTGGGTATTCAAGCCTCGGGAGGAAGTGAACATGAACATCACCATTTTCTAGCAAGAGTAAATAATAAATCTCCAAAAAGGAAATACTTGATTTATATTAAGCAGGACAGGAAAAAAGTAATGTAATTTGTATCTTATATGTGAAGCATGGAAGTTCCCTCCCCCAGTCCTTTTCCCATGGAATGCTGAGACAGATGATGGAGACCTGCGGAATGTCTGGGCAAAAATGAGAAGCTGGGAACAACAGGGACTGAGTCTTGATCACAGGACATGCTGTGCAGAAAGATGATGATTTGCATTAGGCAAGTACAGAAGAGTATCTGCCACCTCGCTTGTACAGTGACTAGTTGGTGTTAGCTGGGATGTAGAGTCAAGGTGAGTGTAGGCTCTGGTCTCTGTGCTTAGGCCAAGGTTGTAGTCAGAGTTATCCTATTTAGTAAAGTTCCATCTGTTATGCAAGTCTTTTAGCACCTTAACTCAGCTAGTTAGAAAGCAAGGGGAGATGGAATTCTCTCTCCAAAAAGATTTAGATCAAAAACACAAAACTGGAAAGTTTGGAGAACAAGAAGCAATTAAAAAGGGCTAAGTATTTATTTATCTGTTTGTTTTAAATGTCATGCAACGAATTCAACATTCAGACAACCTTATGAACTGGGGCAAAATTAGGGGCTTAAATGTCTGAGACATATTTTGCATCAAAAATGAATGATGGTCTTGTTTGCTAATTCAGAACACATCAAATAGCATCAGGGAACTAAACTCCCCAGAGGGCAGGTAATCAGCATTTGCTGTAATTTTACAACATTTTGAACTGAGTACCTGAAATATTGAGAACCTCATAATCAGGCATTTTCAAAATCCTCATTTAAAACTTTTTCTGTCATAGAAGAATAATTTTCCTTCAGAGATGAACCTCCACATCCTCCAGGAAAGTACATTTGATGATGGGAAAGGAGGAAAATTCATTAGACTAATCAAGAAGGCAATTGGAAAACCTGACTTCATTCTAAAAAAAAATGAATGTGTTCCTGGAAAACCAGCCTCAAGTTAGGGCTTCAAATTAATTGTGAAAAAGGAAGAAATTACATTATTGGTGTTAAAAAGACAAGTCTTGAGACATCATAATTACTTCCACTGACAAAGAGATTATGCTGATCAGTGGTGAGAGCAGTCACCCTTGGTGGGTCCCACTTCCCTGGAAAGTTTTGTGACTGTTCTCAGCACAGAAGGATGTTGTGGTGTCTCTGCCCACCACAGCACCTCAGCTGCCTTTTACACAGGTGTCATCCTGCCTAAATTGCTGGTGGCCTGTGCCCAGTAGCTTTGCTGTGAGACTGGACCATCCATCATCATGCTCAGGGATTTGCTCAAGACACAAGAACTGCCTGTCTTCATCTGGGAACCCTTATGGCACAGAATCTGAAGAGTGACATTTATTTACTTTCATTGGTTGTTTTTGGAAAACTGAATTGGCTACTAGATTTTTTCATGGTTCTGCTTTTATTGACACACAGCAGCTCTTGCTCACTGTCCTCAGCAAACAGACTCCAAAGTACACAGTCAACTTCCACAGGAGATGGATACCCTCATAAAGAAAAAATACAGAAATCTCAGAGGGAACCACAGAAAGAAACAAACCACAGAGCAAAAATTCTGTTCATCTCTAAACTAGGTGTCCCTCAATTAAGTAATTAGATCTGTAAGAGACAGAAAAGGCCTCTACAAAGACAGTGTAATAACTTTTCACTGAGTGAGATGGTAAAGAAGACAGCTTCATTAAAGCTAGTGGAAAATTATTAATGTGCTACTCCTGTTTCTCTAGCTTATTATTGCTGTTCAGCTGATCTGAGCTACAGCAATTGGATCAGTAAGTATAAATACTGCATTTCTAGCTTTCATGCCCACTTTGAAGACTGTGCCCAGTAAGTGAGGACCAGTGAATTTATAAGGACTATTATATTTACAGGCTAGCCTGTAAAGACAAATTTATGAGACTCTGAACCTCTGACAAGCATCTGCATCTGTTCTATTTACTTAGGTAACACGAGAGAGGCCACACTACTAAAACACATCGTAAATGAGTTACTAAATTAGGTCATTCAGCCCCAGTATTAAGACTGGTAGCAATTATATATTGGTTTATTTTGTTAATGTAGGAAGTTACCTTTCTAATGGGACTCAGATGAGGATGTTCTTATCAGTAATGGGAAAAATAATCTTTTTTAGTTCTTACTGTCTTCTCCCTTCTCAGTGTGTATCTAAAATGACTGAAATGCAATGGCTTCAGAAAATGTAACCTCTGAAGTAGTGCTTTCTTGAAAACAAATTTTAAAAACCCCAACGAAACAAAAAAAAATATCCCCTGACAAACTAAAAACACCTGGATTGTACAAAATACTGTGACAAAGCTTCTCTCTAAATAGTTCCTCTGGCAAATATAATAATGGAAGGAAACAGAGTATAGTGAATGAAATCTATCCCATGTAAATTATGTTGCTTTTTTCCCCTTACGACAGACTGTTGGGAATATGGCAGAATACAAACTGCTGAAAATTAAAATCTGCTGCAGAACTGAAATCTTGTTAGTTTCTGCTTAATGTTTATCCTTTCACTTGCGAGCAGGGAAGATATGGCAGTTCATATAGGAAACACCATGTCACTGCCAGGCTTTGCATGACAGGAGTGATCTAACTGTCTGCATGCAGGGCACACACATGCACTTACTCATGACAAGACAAGGAAATGTTTTAGGGGCACAAACATAGAGGCAGCTGCTGCAGCAATCTGAGGTATTGCTGTTGGTGCTTCCAGCCTCCTTTCTATGCCATGGAACTGCAAATGAGAACACATCTCCATGAAATTCTGTATTTTGAATGAAACTGAAACAGGGATTTTTAACCAAATTAAACTTCTTCTGGCTCTTCTGTTAGTGGCACTTATCTAGCTAGATAATGAGAAGTCATCTTGTTCTTCAGTTATAAAATGCTGTAAGTACATAATATGGTTAACAAAACACATGCACAACAAAGCTTAAGGTATGAGTCTCAGTTTTGAAATGCTGTGTGACATACCAGAGTCCTATAATGTCTGATTGAGAACAAGCTCTTGCTGCGTTTTGCAATTCGCTACACTGCTCACACAAGCCTGGTGCTCTGCCACTTGATCAGCGGTGGTATTCAGCTTTGCTGCTTTTCAAGGCATGTACTGCACACAGCCACGGCGTGTTGTGCACAGTTTTTCTTCAGCTCAAGCTACAAAGGTTTTCATTCTGCTTCACAGGATGCAACTCATTCATGCAGCTCTTGTGTAGCGAAAGAAGCCAGGAGAGAAACCCTTTTGTTGCATTAGTCCTTCTGTGGCCAAGACTTTCAACACAGGACCACAAGCTGGCTGATGACAAGGGCACATGAAGCAAATGCTTTTTCCTGTCCCATTTTGCTGTGCCACACTCTTCTGCGGCTCTTTAGTGCTTGCAAAGCTCTAAAGTGCATGCTGGTGCTTCGAGCTGACAAGGAGCACAGCCATCTGACAGCAGATTTCAGGTTGTGCAAGAAAGAGCAGTGCCACTTGAATGTAGTGCAAATACGCATTTGCGTGAGTTGCAGGGGCAAGCTCCTGACAATTGTGTTGTCCTGGCACAGTTTCTCCTTGCCAGACACAGTGGAAAAGCTTTCCACTTGCATTCAGACCAAGAGACGCAGATTGCAAGGCTCCGGAGCTCAGAGAAGGTAACCGCAAGAGGCGAGCCTCTTTTGGCAGAAGCAGCGCTCTGGAGCGCTTGGCAGCAGGCACAACAAACCGTGTGTTCTAGAAGACACCAATTCGCATCTGGGAGATCAAAAGCGCGAGTGCTGTCAAGACGTGAAGAAAGAAGCCTTTTGATACAAGCAGGCTTGTGTCAGTTTTATATGGCAACAGTGTATATACTATTTGGTATCTGCAAGTTGGGTCTGAAGGCTTACTAATATTTACAGATGTCCCAGACATTTGCACTACAGCAGGGAAATTGACTACTTCTATGCTGAAATGGCACAATGCTTTTGGCCAGGTCCATTAAAATGAGTTAAAATTTATCTAATAACATACTTAGCAAGGAAAGTAATTTACAGGGCACATTGCCAACAGACTTCTCTGATTTTTTTTTCTTCTTTTTAATTTCTTTGCAAGAAAAGATAAAAGAACATAGCCCTCGTTGTTCGTTTGTTCTTGAACACCTTGAACTGACTTACTCTGTACCAAAGTCTTATACGTACGATTAACTCCTTCAGTTGGCAAAAGCTCTAGGAAAGCACTGTCTTATGAAACACTTGGCATATCCAATGACCTAGCCATCTGACCAGCCTGGCTGTGTGACAACAGTGAAAAATAGTCCTGCTGAGAAAAAGAGGATCATCCTCTGATGGCTATATGGTAAGGAAGAGGCTCCTAGAAGGGCTCAGTTCATGCTCTGCTTGAATCTTCATCAGCCTGTTACCTCAAAGATGGATGTAAGTATAAGATGTTTGCCCAGCAGGATGCTAGCACAGCATTGAATTGTGTATTCTGGCTGTTGCTGAGATAATTTTTGCAGAGTTGCTACAGAAAAGAGAGGCAGCGCAGCCTGTTGCAGCCCACAGATGCATATTCCATCCTATTGAGACATGTGAAGGGCTGCATTCCCAGATTTGTATGCACCACATCTCCAGAGGTAAAAGCCACTGGACTGAGCCTTCTCAGAATAAGGCATCAGGGTACCTGATTGTCACACATTAGCTTGCAAGTGTGATTAGGAG